ACCGACCCAGCCTTCGTAAGGTCGCCAAAGTGAAAGTGGTGCATTCTCTGGAATTGCGCGAGCTACCGTAAATTCAAATGTAAAATGGTTGCAGGGTTTTTTGCTGCGAAAGAAGGCGCCTATGTGTCAGCTGTCGGGTGTGCAGCCGCCTCTCCGGGGAGGAGGGAGCGCGTGGTGTAGTGCGGGATGTGCTGTTCCTTTTGCTGGATTGTCTACGCAGCAGCAAGGGAGTACGTGCAGCGGGCTGCATTGATATTCCCTCCAGCGGGCTAGCTCGTGCAGATACAGCCATTCAGAATCAGAGTCAGATTCACTGTCAGCGAGACCGAGGGCATATCGATATACTCAGCCCACATTATATACTCCACTGTAAGTGTCCACTACACCCAAGCTTTATCTCTGCAGCGCCAGGCTAAATGCGAACAGGGGCCAATGCGTGCCTCAGCTGGGATTGCCAATCTGTGGCGTGAGAGCCTACAAGAAGCTGGCATTCCCTAAAGCAGATGCTAGAGGGGATATGGTGAAACCCCAGACTCCAGTGCTAGCGAGTTAGCGCTGCTCTGCCATTCGAATTTGGGGCGTTGTACGAGCAATTTTCTGTGTTCTTATGCTAGCCATCCGCTAGGCGCTCCAGTTGAAAATTTTTCTTTCACGAGACACTAGTTTATGCGGGCTAAGCGCCTTGACATGGCAATATTGAGTATAAATACCAGATGTGTTGTATGCCAACAGTCTAATCTCTTCTTCTTTTTCTTTCTTTTCCATTCACTATGAGAATCCCTAGCTCTATTATTACATCACATCCATTATATTCTTGTCCTGTCACCAGCGTCAAGCTCGACATCACATAGACCCGATTGCTTCAATACCCCTTTCACCACTCAGCACGTAGCCAGGCAATCTTTCGTGGAAACTTCTTGCCCAATTCCGCAGGCCCAAGCACCCACACCGCCCTTCCCACTGATTCGAAATGGATCCAGCCAGCACCCACCCGCCGACATCCGAGTCCAAGCAGAGCGAGCTCGACACCAGCGATACTGTATCTGGATCAACGAGCAAGACCAACAAGCAGCAGCAGCAGCTTCAGGGCCAGGGAGACCACAGGCTAGATGGTGACTGGGCAAAGGGCAGCGCAGACAAGGAGCTCGGCGCCAAAGGCGGCTATGAGGTCCCCAATGAGGTCCTGTGGCCCAGATCCAGGCTCGATATCTTGGGCAGGATCCGGTATATCTGGCACCACTACACCCTCTGGTGCTGCCTGGTGATCTGGGTCCTGATCACGGCGTACTTTATTGTGTCATGCGCGCTCAAGGACAAGACGCAGCTGTCTGATATCCTGCCGTTCATCTTCCTCTACGTCTTCATCTCGTTCAAGATGCTGTTTGCGTTTGTGCCTACGACAATTGTGTCAAGGCCGATTGAGCACATGTTTAGCAAGATCGTTGCCGAGCCGGTTTCACGGATCCCCATGTATATCAAGTATACTGTCGGTGTGGTTGTGCTGTTCGCTATCGTCCTCGGCGTTTCTCTGGGTACGAAAGTATCAGAGCAGGGCAACAAGCTGCAGCGCATGCAGTCGTTGCTGGGCGTTCTTGTGTACACTGCCATTCTGGCCGCCACATCCAAGCACCCTAAGCATATCCCGTGGCATACAGTCATCATTGGCTTTCTGGTTCAGTTCTGCATTGGGTGCATTGTGATCAAGACTGGCTGGGGCCACGACCTGTTCAGCTGGCTCGCCCAGATGGCTAGCAGCCTGCTCGAGTTTTCGCGGTACGGTGCGATATTCCTGCTCAACAAGCATATTGTTGAATATGGCACATTCGCAGTTTCGGTGTTCCCTGCGGTCATTTTCTTTGCTGCGTTCGTGCAGATGGTCTACTATCTGGGAGGCATGCAGTGGCTGCTCAAGAAGCTCGGGTGGATCTTCTACACGATCATGGACACTTCTGGCGTCGAATCGATTGTCGCCGCTGCCTCGCCATTTATCGGCCAGAACGAGAACGTGCTTTTGGTCAAGGATTACTTTGAGTCGATGACCAATTCCGAGATTCACGCGTGCATGACAGCTGGCTTCGCCACCATTTCCGGCTCGACGCTGCAAGGATACATTGCGCTGGGCGTTGATGCCAAGAACATCATCACCTCGTGCATCATGTCTATCCCGTGCTCGCTAGCGCTGAGCAAGCTCCGGTATCCCGAGACTGAGGTTCCGCTGACAAAGGGCAAGATGGTCGAGCCGCCCAAGCGCACAGACGAGGCGAACATCCTGCACGCACTGGCCAATGGCGCAGCGATCGGCGTCAACATCTCGCTCCTGGTGGCAGCCAACCTCATTGCCGTCGTGTCGATGGTCAAGCTGATCAACTTCTTCCTGACGTGGTTTGGCCAGTTCATCTCCATCCACGCACTAACTCTGGAGCTGATTCTGGGCTACATCTTCTACCCGTTCACGTGGCTCCTGGGTGTGCCCGGCCAGGATATCCTGAAGGTGTCGCAGCTCATTGGCCTCAAGGTCATCTCGAACGAGTTTGTTGCTTTCCAGAAGCTCCAAGGACAGGACGAAAAGGGCGTCTATTACACTGAGGACATGTCTCATCGCGCCACCACTATTGCGCAGTTTGCGCTGTGCGGCTTCGGAAACCTCGGCAGTATCGCCATCCAGATTGGCTCCCTCGGAAGCCTGGCGCCATCGCGCAAGGCCGATATCTCGCGCCTGGCCCTCAGTGCGTGCATCACTGGCGTGTGTGCGACGCTGATGACCTCAGCCATCATTGCCATGGTTATGTAGATGCGACATTTTGCTTTGTTATTTCTTTCCAACTATTCTTTTTCTTTTTTTTTTTTTCAAAATGGCGCGGCGACATACAGAAGTTTTTTCGGTGGATCGGTGGAGGGAAGACGAAACGCTCCCGCTGTGGCAATCATGGACGCGAAAGCAAATTATTCGCATGTGCAAAACATTTTTTGCCCTCGGTCGCCGTGCCAGCACTCTAGTGCAAGTAATGAACACGACACTTTTGTAGTCTGCCAATACGCCGCAGGCACTTCCCGACGGAGCCCAGAAGCATGTCTGTCGGGGGTTGGATCGATAAACAGGCCGCGGAGGAGCATGCCTCCCAGAGACTGCATCTGGATGCAAGAAGGGGCTACATATCGATATGCTTGATACCATCTAGATTCCAAGGCAGAAAGGTCAATAGTGTCTGTGCTCCCCCGCCTCGCACTGAGTGGCTGCAGTCAGCAACAGAAGAAGGCTGTCCAGCCTGATAAGGAAGAGAGCACCCCCATCAGACATTTGGATCCCCAGCAATCACGCAATAATCCTATTCATTGCACCAGTCATTTCTAATAGAACTGGCTTGCCAGCCGCGTTGCTTGGCCAGAAGGCTGCAGCTTTCGGCAATACCGCTCTGCACCACCAGCCATCTCGGCTCTTCTGGCGACTGAATCCGAAGCTGCGATTGACCTCAGCATTTTTATTTCTCCAGTTCCAATGAGTAGCGCGGGTTTAGCGCGGCGACTGGTATGGCTGTGGACAAAGTGTGCCGGGATAAGGCGGAGCTGGCTTGATTTGCAAAGGAGTCCCTTTCTGCGTCTAGGTATGTGCTTTGGGACATGGCCGAGATGAACGGGAAGCGGCGACATTTGCCGTGCAAAAAAAAAGGCCAATCCACATTTCCCCTTTTTCGCTTTCGTGGGTCATGATGGCCAGCGCTGCGAGATTCATTCCATACACCCGCCATGCCTGTCAGATCGGGCCGAAATGCATTTACCAACCTTTTTCCTGCAGCATTGCAAGCCAGAACGGAATACTGGTCCCCGTTCGCCAGGCAATATAAAAGCAGCTGGGGGACTGTGGCCCGTCGTTCCATCTCAACTAGAGAGACAGGACACTGCTCTTACCATTTCCTCTTCGCCTTTTTCTGTTCTCATACATATCCATCATGTGGTTTGCGCAAACGTGTCCAGCACTGGAAGGTCAAAGTGCAATCTGGTGGCTCGACTGCTTCTTCGGTACGTGCACTTACAGCTACACCGATGCTGCCAGCTCGCTCCTGGGCACCCTGACCATCGGCCTCTGGTTCGTCGCCCTGTTACCGCAGATTTACGAGAACTGGTTGCGCAAGTCGACAGACGGACTGTCGACGCACTTCATGTTTCTCTGGCTCATTGGCGACTCGATGAACACGCTCGGATGCATTATCCTGAAGCAGCGGCCATTCCAGATCTTCCTGTCCTCGTACTTTGTCGTCTCCGGCATCATCCTGATCATCCAATACTTTTTGTACCGCGGAAATACCCCGAGGCTGACCGAACCAGCACCAGATGCTACAGAATACACCAGCCTTTTGCCTAGCAGCGATGGTGGGCGGAAAATGCCGTGGCAGCGCAAGTCCGTGTGGTTCATGGTGGCGTGGATTGGCGGGGTTGCCCTGCTCTGGACCGTCGTCAGGCACTGGCATGTTATTGGATCGAGCATCAGCATGCAGGCAGTAGGCATGGCGATGGCATGGGGCAGTACCATGTTTTTCCATATATCGCGTCTGCCCCAGCTCTGGCTCAACTGGAAGCGGCAGAGCGTCGAGGGCCTGGCAAAATCCATGTTCATGGTCACATTCTCTGCCAACGGCACGTACGCAATCTCGCTGATCATCATCATGGCCACGGGCGATGCCGATGTGTTCCGGAGGTCGCTGGCGTTCCTCTACGGAGCCATTGGCTCAATGCTGCTCGACGTCTTCGTGCTGATGCAGTGCTACATGTTCGATCGCTGTGCCAAACCGACCCACCACCTGATCGAGGCGTAATCCCGTTTCTGATTACTTGACTATTATTATACTATTAACGCATCTAGATTATGCTGCGACAGGGCGCGTATTTTGGCTGAGCCTAAAGACAGCGCTTTTTTTACTTTTGCGCTTCTTGCTAATTCGCTCTTTACATTTTTCCTGGTCTTTGTACACAATTTAAAAAACAAAAAAAGTAAGCGAGCCGCAATGTGGCTAGACGAGCGCAGAGAGCAGGGGGTGGCAGGATCGCTTAGCACGAGGGTCGCGGTGGCCAGTGGAGGAGGCGCGCATTTACTAATGATAAGGCATGTTATTTATTCGCTTGCTGTAGTGGCCAAGAAGGCAAAGTCGAGAAACATCCTGGTCCGCCTTATCAGCACAGCAGGCACAGGGTTCACGTATGTCAAGCAGCGCCCGCGCACAGCCGCATACCGCCTGTCGATGATGAAGTTCGATCCGCGTGTCAACAAGCACGTCTTGTTCATGGAGCACAAGATGAAGTAAAGTTTGTATTTTCACCCCCGGGCATTAAAAAGATATCACAAACCAAGCGCTTGCCTAGTTGACAGTGTGGAGAACAGAGGTGGCGACATAGCTGAATCCCAAAAACGCAGTAGCTGGATCAATATCGTCGGGCTTGTCGTTTTTCTGATCGGCGGTGTTGTCGTTCGGCACATCAAGCTTCGCCGGGTCGGGCAGCGGGTCGTTGTCGATCAGGCTGCCGTTGGCGACAGATGGCGGGACATCCTCGTTGGTGAACTCGGTGTCAAAGTTGCTAAAGTCGCCGTCGTACTGGACCACTGGCACAATGGGCGGGGTGATCTGGTGGTAGTTCTTCTCGAGCGCCTGCCAGTCGACTTTGCGGAAGAACCGGTGCTTCTTGATGTCCCCCGACCCCTTGCTGCCGTACCCAAGGCGCTGTGCCGGCTTCTTGCGCAGCAGGCGGATCAGCAGGTCCTTGGCGTCGGGCGTCAGGTAGTTTGGGTAGTTCACCTTCATCTTGGCGATGTTCTTCAGGATCTGCTTCGGCTGCTTGCCCTTGAACGGCACCGCGCCCGTCAGCATCTCGTACAGCAGAATGCCCAACGACCACCAGTCGACCGAAAACTCATACGACTCGGACGAGTCCAGAACCTCGGGCGCCATGTACGACGGCGTGCCGCAGAAGGTGCTCGTGCGGCCATCGGCGCCCAGCGCGGTCTTGGACAGGCCAAAGTCCGTCAGCACCAGATGGCCCGTGTTGCTCAGGAGGCAGTTCTCGGGCTTGGCGTCGCGGAACACGATCCCCAGCTTGTGCAGATGCGACAGCGCCAGCACCAGCTCCGCCGTGTAGAACACTGCCTGGTCCTCGGAGAATATGCGCTCCCGCGCCATGTGCGTGAAGAGCTCGCCGCCAGCCACGTACTCCAGGATAAGGTAGAGCTTCGAGTTCGACTGGAACGCGTAGTAGAGCTTGACGATGAACGGGTGCTGCACCTCGGACAGAATGGAGCGCTCAGTCATGGTGAAGGTTATCTGGCGCCTCTGCAGCAGAATCGACGCCTTGCGCAGCACCTTCATTGCATAGTGCTTCTGTGTGGTCTTGTGCCGCACCAGGTACACCTTGCCGTATCTAAGACAGGGAGGAGAAATTAGGTAGTAAGCGATCGGTTACTTTTGGCGACAGCATTCTCTCTTTGTTGTCAACCCTCCTCCCCCCACATGTCGTGCAATGCAGTAGCAAAAGAAATAGCAGGGACGCATGTATGAACCGCCATTCTACTGCGCTCCCAAACAGCAATAGCCTATGCATACCCTCCCTTCCCAATCATCGTCAGGACGTCAAAGTCGTTGATAGAGGCCTTGGATGGCCTCGCTGGCCCCTGCGCCCCTGCCGCCGCCGTCTCCGCGCCGCCGTCCCCGGGCTCTGGCGAATTGGCCCTGCTGTCGTTGACAAAATCCTCATCAATAGGCACCTCCACCTGCACATGCCCCTCCATATCATACTCGGCATCAACATGCAGACCGTCGAGCTGGCCCTCCAACATGTCTACAACGCCCCTTGGAGACGCTCTGCTTGCGGTGCAGTGCCGGGGACCCGGGCCGCGACGCCATGCGCGAGCCGGGGCGCGAGGAAAACGCCATGTTTGGTAAGACAATGGGCGACCGCACCGACTGCTTGTTGCGCATGGCCGCGCGGTCGTCGAGTTCCATGTCGAAAATCATCGCTGGTGTTTGAGCTGGAGAAGCGTCAGATAGCTAAGCAAGTATGGTGTGTGCGGGGTGGTGTTTGCTATCCGCGGGTGCTGGTAACTGGATAGAAGGAAATATCGTGGGCGTGATAGTCAATGCGAGAAGGACATTTGGCTTTGACGAGTAGAAGCTGGCTGTGTGAAAGAAAGTAAAGAGGTGGGCTTTGCTCTGAAGAGAGGACGGCGCTGTTGTGTTTGGAAAGAGTCCAGAAAATCGGACTGCTGAAGCATCCTTTTTTTTTTTTTCCCATCTAAACCCCTCCATTCCCCCTGCCCCAACAGCCTTGCCCAGTGAACACAAGGAAATCTGCCTTTCCAGTGACCGAGTGCTCGTGATCAGACGAAAGGCGCTGTTGCGGGCAAATCGCAGACAAGGTAATTTGATAAGCTAATACGCAGGAAATCCGGATATTGGCAGCCTTGCAAGGAAATCAGGGCTGCGCAAAAATAATAGGAGTAACATTGGTCCTTGGCAATGCCTGAAACTGTGTGTCGTCACTGATTCCTGTTTAAGGAAGGCGGAGAGTATGCTGCCCCGTGTCATGTGGAGAGTGCCTGACTGCTTTTCAGCCTCACAACTAACGGTGACGAGCGTGCATAACAAGTCGGAAGCTTGTATTGGACAGCCGCAGGGCGGAATCTGAAATGCCAGCTCTTCTTACATCAACTCCGGGACACGGGTGGCCAGCTACGTGCAGAAGGCTGCATAAAGTATACAATAAGCAGGTGGGAGACAATTGATGTCAAGGTGAAAGATCCGGAGCTTCAAGCTTCCAGGCACCAACAAAAAGTATTTCATCTAGCAGTTTTCCCCATCCAAGCGCTAAAGCTGGCCTGGGCCTCTGGCGAGACAAGAGCAAGTATAAAAGGAATACACATGTTTCCCTCCTGGACTCTCTTCACTCTGTTCTTTTCTAAACCCCCCCACAGGCGCCTTTACTCGCTTACAGCTTACTCTAGAAACTACCCACCACGAATATACCGATCATGCACCACATGAGCACCGACTCCGTCAGGATGCTAGGTAGCCCGGGTTCCCGGGACTACGCAGTCATGTATAGCCAGATGGCACCGGGTTCTAGCTACAACCCGTACAACACGCTGCTGTCTCACTCGCAACACTACAGCGCCAGCGCACCAGTGACATCAACGAGCAAATCGGCAAAGAAGCGCGTCAGGTTCGCCACGCCCCTGGTCACATATGATATGGAGGCGGTAGAGTTCCACGACTACGACCCGCGATTCGCAATGTCCATGGAATACCTGCCCCTCCACGGGCGCACATAGCACGGGGCGGAAGCATCAAGCGCACGTGTGCGAAAAGAAAATGTGAACTAGAATATTTATAGCTCTTCAAAAGCGTCATCATCTGTCCATTCAATATCATCCATCAACTCCTCAGTCTCACGATGCAGCTGCGCCAATCCCGTCAGCGTCTCAAGGTAGCTGTAGCCGGCAGGCGGGGTCGCTTCAACCTCGCGATGGAGATCGTCCTCACTCACACAGGCGTTGTTGAACACGCGCTCGAGAAAGGCATAGCCGTGCTCGCGATAGGCGCTCAGCACCGAGTCCGAGCACGCGGTGCACTTATCGTAGGCATGGCCGACCGATTGTGTGCTGGCGGAACCCGCCCCAGATATCCGCGGATCTGGTGCGGTGGGGCGCCAAAGACACCCGGCGTCCGGCGTCGGCAGCGGCAGCTTTGCCCAGCGGGTGCTGCAGGATGGTGGAGACGAGCTCGACACCCATCCCCGACGCAATAGGCGCCAGGCCAGGGCGCGTCACCGTGCATTGCTGGTCAAGCGTGCGGTCAGTCAGAGAGTCGGTCGGCGCGACCACATCGCTGCAGAAATAGCAGCCCAGACGCCCGCTGCCCTGCGACCGCACGCCATGCCGCATGGCCCACAAACCGAGTCGAAGCCCAAGGCAATGCACACCACCAGCTTGTCATGCAATGCCCCCAGCACCGGTCGCCAGCCAGCGGCTCTCGCGGCTATCAGTCAATAGGAAACACCACATCGTGGCTTTCCACCAGCTGCTCCAGCCGCCCCACCGCCTGCCTAGTCGCCTCCCGCTCGCTCTCGGGGACCGGATGCCCGCGGCATGGGAATGCTCAGCTGCTCCCCCTGCGCATCGACATTGGGGAAAATCCGCCTCAAGGCACTGGCTGCCGCCACAGCCTTGGGCTTGCCCTCAATGCTATCGGCAAACTCGTACAATGGCTGCCGGGCCGGGTTCGAAAACGACACCTTGCCATTGTCCACAAAGGTGATTTTGCGCACCCCCCACGCCAGTAGCGCCCGCGCAGCATACGAACCCAGCGTCCCGGCGCCCAGCAGCAGCGCCCGGGTGGCCGAGACCTCCCGAGATCAATCTCTGGCACCAGCCGCCACCGCATCAGCTGCAGATTCAGATCCAGCGCCGACTCGGCCAGCCGGGACGGATCCATGGATGCCGACAGATTGGCCATGCGCGGCACCAGCCGCCCGGCCTCGTTGCGCTCCCACCCGCTGACCTGCCCCTGGGCCTTCAAGTCTCCAGCCCTGGTCACGTTGATGTCCAGCACTATGCTCTCCGGGGGCACTGCGCTGGTCTGCATCAGCGCATCGCGGAAGCACAGCACCTGGATCTGCGTCTGCTCCGGGTGCGCATGTCGCAGCCATGCCAGCAGATTGCGCAACGGCCATCCCGGCCGCGTCGCATGGCTGCTGGGGTCAACAAACCCAAGCATGACGCCGTCGCCAAAGAACCCCTGCCAGTCGCTCAGCCTCCCCACCTGCCACTGCCCCATCGAGTACTTGGCCAGAAACGCTCCCCCGACTGTCGCCACGCGCGCCAGGTCCCGCACCCTGTCCTCGTCGCCGCCCACGTACTCCAGCAGCGTCTGCTCCTTGGCTACTGTATCCGGCGGGTCGGCCGTGATGGCTGGGAACGCAAACCAGTGGTAGAACCGGTACTTCTTCAGGTCAGAGAACGCCAGAACCACAAATGGCCACAGGACTCGGGCGTCGCTGTCGCTTTGCCTGACTGGATTCGTCCAGAATCCCCTGCCCGGCAGTCCGCAGAAGCTCGCCCTTGTCGGCCGCCTTGAACTCCTCGATTGTGTTGGTGTTGAACAGCGTGCCAGTCACGTGACCACATGCCCTGCTGCCGCTGCAGCGCTCTCGCCGGTGCTCCACGCCCGCTTAATGGCCCGCATGCGCGCAGGCGTGGCTATGCGCTGCTGTGAGCTGCCTGTCTGGCCGCGCACTGCATGACGCCGCCCGCTGACAAACTCGCCCTCGATATCCGTGCGTGCTGTGTCCAGCTGCGCCGAATGCAGCTTG